TGCCCAAGAGGTAGCTGATGCCAGCAGAGCAGGGCCATTCTCCCTAGCTGAGCCCGGCTCTGGCGAGGTGGCAGGGAAAACCCTCAATTTCGCCCACCTCATCCCGTCTCCCCCTTCAGTCTGCATCCACCCACCAGTCATCCATGAGCACGCCCGCCCACGGGCTGGCTTGGTGGACGTGGGAATCTCATCTGAGGCTTCCTGCTGGAAACAGGAGCAGTTTCTCCCCTCTACCCTCTTCTCAACTCCTTGAAGACTCTATTCCCGTCTCTCCCGGATGAAACACCCGTGCTGAAGGTGAGCTTCCTTCCCCATCACTTCCACACTCCTCCAGAGCCACTTGCACTCACATATCCCACTAACACAGCCATGCAGCACACAAAGGCAGGCAGCGTCCTGCTCAAACCACACGCACAGTGTTGACAACCCCATGTTGTCCAATTGGACGCGTGCCGATACATAAGAAAACACAAACACCCTTCCAGCCCCCACCCAAAGGCAACACAAAGACCACCAAGAATTTCAAGATCCAGCCTCATCTGTAGAACAGAGAGCTGGCTAGGACAAAGGCTTTACTCCGTCCTCCCGACAATCCACGACTCTCTGGGATATTCTGCAGTACCCTCTGGTTTGACACAGCCCACTGACCGGAGCTATGTGTTGGCGTGTGAGAGCGTACACACGTGTATTGGGGAAGGGGGCTGTGTTCCTACTGTCCAGGCATCCAATTTCACCAGAGGTAACCCAGTCCAGACTCTGCTTTCCCCGGGTAACCTTGCTCCAACGTGTCGCAAACATGTATTTCATGGATGGTTAAATTGGATCATTATCACCCGGTGCTTATTTGGCCAAAAAAAAAAAATCATTAATGCTATTTACCCCATTTCTATCCACTCCTCCTGAGATCCCCTCCCACAAAGACTCTCCAACATGCTAATCCCATGAACTGCGACACACTACAGCTTTTGGAAAAGAATAATGGCGAGAAGAAAGGAGAGAGCAGTTGCAGGGAGAAGACGAGGCTCTAACACTCCTGGCGTTCCCCACACAAAGATGGGGGGAAGAAGCCATGGTGGAGGTAGAGGTGGGGAAGGAGAGAAAGGGGGATAAAAGCAAACAAAGTCCAGCCCTTCTGTCGCCTGTGAACGTGAGACTGTGTGTGCAAGAGCGTGTGCCAGTGCGTGTGTGGATGTGATGTGCCGACTTAGCCCTCCTATCAGAAGGCGGCATCCGTGTGGCATGTAGGAAAGGCCATCGCACCACTGTTGTGTTACGAAAAAAAGAAAAAAAAGAAAAAAGAAAAGAGGAAGGAAAAAAGGTGGAAAAAATGAGCCGCAAAGCCATCAGAATCAGAATTCTCTCATGGAGACGAAAAGGGCTGGAGAAAAGGGGGAGGGAGAATACAGGGCCGGGGGGAGCAGTGTGTGGAAATAGGAGGCAAGATCATGGCAGAATTAAGGGAGGATGAGGGAGAGGAATTGATGGTGGGGTGGGGAAAAAATTGCACGCACACAGAGATACAAACACACACAATACCCAACTGCCAACCCCACCGCTCCACCGTTCACCCAAGGCTGACAACCTGCTCCCCCATCGCTTCACTGCCTCTCTGTGCCCCCAAAGCGGGTGCCGATAGATTTCTGTATCTCAGTTTTGCAGCAGTGGGCTAATTACAACCAAGCCCCCTCACCAAATTAACCCCTCCCCTCCCTCTCTTTTTTTTCTCTAAAAGGCCAATTGAAGAATAATGTGTTTTTAGAGATAATGGATTTTTTTTTTTCAAAGAGCGAGAGAAAGAGGGATGCGGGACAGAAATTCTGCAAACCAGTGACTTGCGACCTCACCTCCGTCTCCCCTCATGCCCCCATTCGTTGTAATATCTCATCTACCATTCTCCCACCATCCCCTTGTCCCCCACCACCCAAAAGAAAAGACCTTCCTACCATGCACATCGACAAACACACCAACCGCCACCCAATCTCAGTAGCCGATCTCGAAACCCCAAGCATCAATCTATCCCGATACATCCTTTCCCTTATATAAGCAGCAAATCATCAACATAGTAAGGAGAAACGCAGCATTAAAAAGAAATCAGCCAAATCAGAGGCCAGAACCCCGTCAAACCCCCAAATAACTAATAACAGGGAGCTACCAGAGAAGCAAAGACGTAGTTGCCTTAAAACCTAGAATCCATTTCATTCCTGGCCCCTGTTCTGAAGAAGCAATTTTTTTGTATAATTATTATTTTACTAGAAAGGTCCGGAAAGCTCCAGAAAAGGGCATTCGCACAGTCAGGTTGTTTTTAAAAAATTAACCCAGCCCTGTTGCTCACTTTAATAGCGAACTTCCAGCATCCAGCCTTTTCCCCCTCTTCCAGAAGGAAGACTGGCTCGTAGGACGAACCCTGGGCTGCAGAAAATGGGCCAACAGCCCTTACTCCGCTCCCCAACCAAAAAAAAAAAAAAAAAAATCAAACAATAGGAATATCACTGCACGACCAGCACCAGTCTGAAATATCGCTTGCCCCGTATGACTTAGGCAGATTAAATCCAAAGATAAAAAAAAAAAAAAAAAAAAAAAAAAAAAAAAAAAAAAAAAAAAAACAGCCTTCCCTCATCTCGCTCTCCTGCATCCTTCCACAACATACCCAGTAGCCCTTAGGTAAACTTGCCCATCATAACCAGCGGGACCATTTTAACTTGAAAGGCGATGCAGAAGCCCTTGAATGATGAAGGGAGGCTCTACCCAGAACGGCAAATTGATAAAGGGCTAGTTCTTCAGGCTCCCCAGAGTAACCTCCAGGTGCCCCCAGATAAACTATCCCAGGTACCAAGTCATCCAGCGCGCTGGGAGTTCAAATTTCCATTGGAACCTTCATCACAAAGGCAAACGGTCATCTGACCCCCGAAAGTACACCGTCCTCCAGGTGTGACGCGGAGCACCCCTCTCCCTCCCAAGGCCATCCACAGGACCCAGGGCAGGGGAAGAATTAAGAATGTTGGGGTGGCTTGTGATGGTAAAAGAAAAACTATCTCCCCAAAGCGGGAATAACCGGAGGAAGCGGGGAGAAAACATCTCCTGCCCTGCGCGTTCTCTCGTTCGGTCTGACTGTGTCTTGTTCCATCCTAGGTTAGCTCTCCATGATCTCTGACCTTTGCATTTTAAAAATACGAAATTAAATGAAGACCAGAGAGGAGGAACCCTACTTTACCTAACCTCTAATAATGGTTAGCAAAAATTCTGTCATTGCAAGAACATATTTCTATATCCAAATCAAAAAAGGCAAGCATGTAAAGGTATAAGGGAGACATTTATTTATTTTTTTTTTTAACAAGTAATCACAGGGTAAGTCACCTGCAAGGGAGCCAAGCCCATAGGTTGGTATTACATCACTGGCCTAGGAAAGGATGGGGGGTGGGGGACAATTTTTTTTTGTTGTTGTCATTGGGGTGATGTTTCTAAAGCAGTTAAGTTTTGTGGTTAAAAAAGAGAGAGGGAAAGAAAGCGAGAAATCACCCCTGGGGCAATGGCCACATCATAATCCTGTCTCCTCCATTTTCTTCTTGGGATTTTGGGCACACATGCACATACACTGTGTCCAGGACTCAAATGGTACTGTTAGCTATGTGGGAACTAGCTACCTTAACCTCCAGGCCACCTGCTGACCCCAGGAATAACTTGGGTTATATTTATAGTATGATAAAGTTATTAATATAATT